AAATTTAATTTTAAAAATTTTTGTTTTTTTTTTTTTTTTTTTCCTAATTAAAAAAACCTTTGGGTTTTTTTTTTTTTTTTTTTTTTTTTTTTTTTTTGCATTGAATTCTTGTGAAAATTAATGTTTTTGAAGCCATTACAATTGTAACTTCATTACATGGATGAAATCAGTCTGACTCGATCCTCCTGTGACGATCTGTCTTTGCGCGACATTTCTTAAAAATAAAACATCTTTCACACCAACACGGACCCCCCGTCTCGTCCGCTCCAGGTTCTTCACACGGCCGAAGCTTTCCAGAAGATCCTGAGGGAGGAGGAGAAGAGGAGGAGGAAGGAGGAGAAGAGGAAAGAAATCCGGAAAGGCCCCCGCATCTCCCGCTCTCGCTCCGAGCTATAGCGTCACCCCTCGGCGGTGGCGAGGAGCCAGAGAACAGGATCTGGAGGAGCGAACACAGGGGTCCACACGGAGTGGCCCGACATGCAGACTGCAACGACGGTGAAGGGAACAACAGCTGCCGTCCATTGTACCATACAGAAGTGAAGGCGCTCCGACGGAAAGAATGGAGGAGCCATCGCTGCGACACGATAACGCGTTTATTCAGAGGTTAGTCAGGTTCTGATCGAGGCTCGACATCGGCGCCGATGTCTAATTGGAGAATCTAACTTTGTGCTCCGGGAGGATTCTAGGACAACAACGGAAAAGTCAAACCTACAGAGGCGGACGGATTTATTGGCACGCCTGGTAAAGATGTGGAAATGCATCTTTTGGAAAAACCCTAATTCATGCTTAAACCTCCTTCGAGTGTTTGTCGCTGAAAATCCCAAACTCAGTTTCCAGTTAAAGTCCGAGCGTGTTTATACTTGTGATGTTAGAACCTAAAAAGGCTTTTTCTTGTTTACTCCCAAACAATTGAAAACAGTTAATTGAAATTGATCAATTTAAAAAAAAAGTCAAAGTATAAGAAATTCTTTTTGCGTTCTTGTTTTAAAGAGATCGCTACAAGCACCAATATTTGTCCTCTACTGATTTTGTTAAAGAATTACAAACTAAATAATAAAATTTAGCAACATTTTCTTAGTGCTGGACCACACTGCTGCGTTGAAAAATATAAATTTAAAGCAATATACACGTCTTTACCAGGGGAGCCAACAGATTTTCCAGTTTCCTGCGCTGTATTGGGTTATACGGTAACTGAACTTTGGCATATTATTCATTTAAAAAGTTTACTTCAGAACTTTACAAACCCCTAATGTATTGTCTGGTCCAGATCTAATGTGTGTAAAATCCCATATGCTTTAAATATGTGTCATTATTTAAACATTTATAAATTGACCTCGTTTAACCTTGGCCTGTTTTGTAGTGAGAGATGAGCTCAACTACTTTGTCATTTTGAGGGGTACGTTTTTTTTTTTGTTTTTGTTTTGTTTTTTGGGGGTTGTTTTTTGTAAAAATGAAAAATCTCCCTGTAATTGCTGCTTAAAGTTGTGGGGATGGCTCTTATTTTGTTTGCCTGGGGGAAAAAAAAACCTTTATAATGTTTTTATTATTTTGAAGGGGATTGCCTCAATTTGCATTCTTTTTTTCTTACCTTGCATTTGTTTGTGCTTGAAAGATTATTAACATTTCTTTCTTTGTTTCATCAGAATATAAATTGTGGGTCTTCACCTTGTCTCTGTTCAACATGTTTCTTGTTATCTTACCTGAGAGTTGTCCATAATTTAATGCTTTATATCTATGAAACTGAAGATTGGTGTAATTTTAAAAGTAGTAGAGCGACTGTTATAAAAAGTTATATGTATATTCAGAGAAACGATATCATTGCTGCAAGACCAACAAGCCATTTTGTTAAGACATATGAAATAAAGTGATTCTGATATGTTCTGATGGAGAAGTCGACGGGCCTGTGTTGTGTCAGATTTCAGAAATCAGCCAACAGAGGGCAGACAGCTAACGGCTTTCTGAAGCGAACAAAGTCCAAATGTTGGTGTTTCAGACTCGGGCTGACCTTTGACAGGGTTCCCTTAAAGATCGGAAGCCAAATAATAAACTACAGGAGGAAATAACACTGCTGTTAGCCTGGGAAATGTTTCCGCTGTAACATGGAGCGAGGTAAGATGATAGCCTTCTGTGTTAGCAACATGCTAACAGTATCACGCAAATAATCTGATCCGGTGATAAATTATTCCTCTTTCGGTTAAACGTGATTAATGCTTTCTAATTCGTGACGTTGTGCTTTTTTTTTATTATTGTGTTAGCTAAATCAGCGCTGAAGGTTTTACATGACGCTTCTCTGCATTTCTGTGCAGAAAGTTCCTGAAGCGCCAGGAACATGTCACTGTTTCCAAACAACACTGCTAAAACTGAAGTAGAAGCTGATTTTCGCCGTGTTTACCAGGCAATCGACATCGTAGCGAGATGAACACGTTTACAAATCCAGGGTTGGTATTGCTACGTCTTAATCAGGTTAGAAACTTCTAAATTTAATCCAGGCCCGGCCCGAGTTAGAAGCAAACTTTGCGCCTGAAAAAGTTGCAGGGATACCAGAGAAATCCTTCCAGCATTGAATGTTACTTCACTAGAGCTATAAATCAAGGCTAATTTAGTAAACCTGCTTGTGTCTGTAGTGTAAGATATTTTCAGACACCCTACACTCAGTAAAAATGATTTATAACTGCCTATTTTAAGAGTAAAAACATTACATACAATAATATGCATTAATAAGGACAGTGGATGCCATCTTAGCACTAACACTACAGTCTTCCCTATCTCCAATCTTGGGGGTACAACCAATAAGCACCAAGTAAAATAAAGTTCCTGGATTAGCTGCTCTGCAAAACACAAAACACTAGTAAACCAACGCTTTAATTAATGTTATTAATTTAATAACGATTAAATTAATCGTTATTATGATTAATTTTATTGTAATTAAAATATATTAAAAAATTTAATAAAATATTAATTTAAAAATTGGTTTACTATCAAGAAACTAAATTTCTTGATTCAGAATGTGAAAATTAAAGAAAAATTAACAATAAATCTGTCAGTTGTGGTTGGGTCTTATGCCTGACAGACATAAGTATAAATTTACTACCAACGCTATTACGTCTATAAGTAGATGATTAAATTCATGTTTTTGTAACTGATGATCAAATCTTAAAGCTCATCACAATCTGACAAAAAACAATAGATACACTAAATGGGTCTACCTAATCAAAATAACAACATGAAATAAGTTATTAAAGAAAAGGTGGTAAGTAATAAATGTGACCTGACTCAGCTTGTCAACAGTGTGTTGACTTTCCATCTTATGTTTTTTATAAAGCTTTTACTCTGCTGATACCATTTGTAGACAATAGATTATTTTTAAGAACCATCATGTGAAGGGAAAGAAAATCGGCAATTAAGATATTTATTTCCAGCCTTTAAGCTGTGACCAGTCATTAATTATTTGTATTTGGATCAATGGCACCATCACCCCACTACGTGAGAAAACACTCTCTGCAAAGCAACTTCGAAAACATTTTAAACCGTCTTCAGTGGTTTAAGTGGCTGGCATGTATAACAGGGTGTTAATTTAACATTATTATACATGTGAAACTTGTTAAAATTTGTTTATTTATACTTTAAATTCAATTTGGTTAGTCAAAAACATATTTTCTCCTGAAAATAACATATTTGCTGTGTTGGTTATGTTATGTTGCTCTGAACAGTTGGTGGTTACCATAGCAACCAGTAACAGCTTTTTCTCTTGCGGTCTGGTTTGTATTTAGTTCAGCTCTGTATTTTAGACATATTTGATTATATTCAGGGTTTCATGTGTAATTTTCCTGTGTTTTATACACGTTGTTTACTATTATAATGTTGTGCTTTTTAGCTGTTTGTAATTTTACAGCTCTTAACAGCTGTCAACTGTTCAATGGGAGCTATTGCTCTGTAGTTATAGGGTTATTTTTTTTATTAATGTTTAGGTTCTCAAGCTGCTGGACTGATGTTAATCACCAACTTGATTTTTTTCTCTTTTTAGGTATGTTTTAATTTTAGATAAAGTATAGTTTCAGGTACCAAATGTGTGATAGTCTTTGGATGTTATATGTGTGATTTTACATATTTTTCCAGAATATACATAGAGTATAAACAGAGCAACAACACTGCTGTAATATGTTCATTCTTACTGTTATCTGCTGAAGTCTTGCTCTCTCTCACTGCCTTGCAGCCAGAATGAACCACAGACATGTTTTTGCATATCAGTACAGTGTTCATTCAGTAACAGTCTTCACACTGAAGAGTGTGGTTGTTATCATGACTTAGTGTCTTGTATGTTCAGTGATCAAAAAAACAAAGGGTTTTTGAGTTTCCATTAACCGGTTGAGGCCAATCAAACTGAAAATAGGCTAATTCTCATCACCAGCTAAAATCTTAGCGCACTTTAAGGTTGAGAGATGGAGATGTATTCTTCATTGCTGTCCAAATTCTACCTAAAGCAGTTGTTGTTAAATGAGTAATGTTAATCAATAGTAATGTAGTGAAATTACCCTTCCTGTTACAGTATTCCCACCTGACAACGACAACAGAGAGACTGGTGAAATGGAGGAGGACGTTGAAGGTACCTGGGGAGAAGAGCTCCGACTAGTCCTTGTCGGAAAGACCGGGTCTGGAAAAAGTGCGTCTGGAAACACTATCCTGGGCCGCAGGCAGTTCCTGTCGCAGGCCAGTGCCAGCTCCGTCACCCAGATCTGCGAGCTGGGCATTGCTTCGATGGCAGAAGAAGAGGACGCAGACCAGGAAGGCAGCACTGTCCTGCAGAGGAGGAAGAGGAAGATAACGGTGGTTGATATGCCAGGGTTTGGTGACACTCACCTGAGTGTGGAGCAGACCCACGCAGAGATAGCCAAATGTGTGTCTCTGTCAGCTCCCGGTCCACACGCGTTCCTCCTCGTGGTCCCAGTCGGACGCTACACAGACAATGAGAACCAGGCGGTGTGCCAGTTGGGTGACATATTTGGAGCCGACGCAGTCTCCAACCACACTGTAGTTCTGTTTACCAGGGGGGACGATCTGGACGGGGTTGGGATCGAAAAGTACCTCCGAGAGACGGCACCTGTTGGACTTAAAGCTTTGATTGAGAGGTGTGGGGGTAGATACCATGTACTCAACAACAGAAAGCCAAATAACTCGGAACAGGTTAGAGAGCTGGTGAGGAAGGTGGATGAAATGGTGAAGCAGAACAACAGAGGGTTTTATACCAATGCAGTGTTTCTAGAGACAGAGGCTGCCATCACAGAGGAGCAGAACAGGATGTTGAGGGAGCGAGGGCAAGCAGAGGGGGAAGAGGAATCGCAGGGATCGAACAGTAGCAAAGTCGCAAAACGAAGGAAGTGTGAGTTGGAGTCAGATGGAGGTGATAAGGATTTTAGTGTTGAGAGATGGACGGAGGAAAGCAGGAGCAACCCCTTCCGACTTCTCAGAGACCGGGTCAGAGGCAGGAATCAGGGAGTGGACAGGGTGGGCAGGAGGAGACAGGCTATCCATTCATCCTTGAGCCGCCTGAGGAGGGAAGCCGCTCTGTCTGCTAAAGTGCTGGACAGGGTGAAGATCCTGGTGGCTGCCGGGGCGACAGGCATGGCGGTGGGGGCCATGTTTGGGGCAGCTGCACCTCTGGCGGCGGCAGCGGGGGCCTCTCTCGTAGGGAACTCCGTTGGTTTTGCCACGGGACAGTTGGCAGGGATGTCTGTAGCTGGAGGTACCAGTGTTGGGAAAGCGGTTGGGGCCATAGTGGCGGCTGCCTCTGGAAAAACAGCAGTGGCTCTTGGGGCGGCGACGGGAGGGGTCTTGGGCGGCTCAGTGGGAATTGTCGCTGGCGGCGAGGCCACGAGTTCCCAGGAGGGCGTTTTAGACGCCCTGGGCCAGGTGAGCGTGATGGGAGCCTCTGCTGTGGGAGTGGCAGCTGGAGTGGGGTGTGCCATGGGAGCTGGAGCCGCTTTGGGTGCAGCTGTGGAGGGAGCGGCGGCCCTCGGCGGAGCAGAAACTGCGGTGGCCTCTGCAGGAGGCTCAGCTGCAGGAGCTCTTCAGTGCTCCACAGCCGTAGCTCCATACGTCCCACCGGGGGCTGTGTGTGAGGTAGCGGGCCCTGCGTCGGGCCACTGGGTTACCGTGGCAGCAACTACTCGGATCTTAAACGCAGTGGCTGAGATCGGGAAAGCGGCAGCAGGTATTGCTCTGGCTGGTGGTTTGGTAGTGAAGGTGGTGAAGGAGAAAGTGAGATCTGGTACCAGCACTGAAGAGGCCAGTTATTCAGAGAGAAAGTCGTATGAAGTCTACTGGAACAAATAAACTGGGGCTTAATCTAGAGTGCAATGCCTGTAAATTAGATCATCTTCATGTGACTGGCCATTGTGATGCAGTGGGATATAGTGTAACCTTATATTTCATACGGATGAAAAAAATCCAACATTTCATTGTAAAGATAAAAAACGGAAAACAGAAAATCTCGACTGCAGTCCTGAAATCCACTTC